CAGGAATTTAAGGAATTCCCAGGAGGAACGGTCACTGCGGGGGTACTGGGAAACTGAACTCTTTATTTATTGACAGACAACTTCAGCCCCCAGCTCCTGGCAGGGGGACCCAGGAAGGGGAGAAGATCTTCCGCCTTGTACCCCAGGTTGGGGGGTGGCCCCGACCTTCAAAGAAGCCCCAGCCCATCAATGTAGCCACAGGAATGATATGGGACCAGCCTCACCCCGGCTCATTTCTGTTCCTTGTTGCTCCGCCACACCCCCACGCCACCCCCACCCCAGCTGCCTTTGATCTCTGTCCCACTGCGCTTGGCCTGGTTTGAGGTCTCCTGCTGTGATGCCCCAGGCTGGGTCTCCAGCTCACAGGGACTCTCTCTCTCTGTATCACAGCCTGGATCTGGCCTCCTGCCTGCTGGGCTGTGGCAGCAGAATCCCTCAGGACCCAGTGGGAGGTAACGAAGGGAAAAGATAACTTTGGCTCAGACCGGGGAGGTTTTTGCAGGCCAAGGGCAGCTAAGCCAGGCAGATGCACTTTGATGGGTGATGGGAGTCACCATCCCTGGCCATCTGAGTGGCATATACGATCTAAGAGGGGCGATTGTAGGTAGTGGTCAGGAGTCCAGCCTCTGGGTGGCGAGACCTGTTCACACTCTAGGCAAAGCTTGGGTAACCATGGCCAGGTTCCTTAACCACTGTGTACCTCAGTTTGCTCCCCGGTAAAATGGGGATAATAAGATCAGCTACTTTATAGGGTTGAAATGAGGATGAAATGAGGAAATGTATGTGAATGTGCCTGGCTCGTTGTAATCGCTCTGAACGGGGCCGTCATTGATGCTAAAGTCTCAGCTGCCCTTGGGAGGAATCAGTCAGCCCTTGAGAAGCACGGCCATAATGGTCCTTGGAGGGTCCTCCTTGCCTCCTGCATGGAGCAGTCTAACCCCCCTTCCTGCATCCTCGTCCTCCATCCTCCTCTGGCTCTTGGCCCAGGTTGGATCTAAGGACCTCTGAGGGACTGCCACAGACTCTTCCTTTGTCTTCCTGTACCCAGCCGCTTTCTGCTCTGGCTTCTCCTGCTCACAGCTGCCCCGTGGATCTTCAGCTCTGTTCAAAGTCCTCGATGGCTCTCTGTGACTGCAGAGGAAATAGCAACCTCTTCAGCTTTTAGTTTAAGATCCTTGGCAATCTGACCTTTTCTTAACTTTTCAGCTTTCGGTGGATCTGAGAAATTTAAGCCTGAGTTTGAATCTGGGCATCTCCGCGGCATCTGAGCTGTGAAACTTCAGGAAATGTATATTACCTCTACGCACCTTGGTTTTCTTATCTATAAAATGGAAACAATTATACCTGCCTCATCAACTACACAAGGACGTTTGAGGATCAGACGAGCAGGGACGTGTATGCCGTTTGCACCTGGAGAGCTACTCACTGATTTTGGACCAAACAGTGGTTTCTTTTCTGTGGGACTTTGCTCTCGTCATTCCCTCCACCTGCAGCGCCGTGTCACCCTCAGTTTGCCATTGTTGAAATGGGTCTCTCATTGAGAGCCCAGGGCAAATGCCACGTCCTCTGCGCAGCTGCCCTCGTTACCCTGCCTGAAATGACCCCTCTCTCTCTCTCATGTTTCCTATATCACATTGCTCACACCTCTCTCCAACACCTGTGAGGGCCCCACTTAACACTTGTCTTCCTCTGTCTTATCTCCTTAGACTGTGAGCTCCTGGAGGGCAGGACTATCCTTAAATCAGCTCCGGTTTTCCCATAGCACCTCATACCGC